CTCCCTCTCTCTCTCTCTCTGTCCCTCTCACTCCACCGTCTGGATGGAGCAGAGAGGAGCGTCTTTGGATTATGTCCAGACACTGAGGGGATTTACCTGTCTGCACTGACCCTGTGGGCGTCTGTCTTAAGACTGTCTTACTCCTCACAATATGGCACATGTAATCAGGTCCATCGCTGACCGGCGTGCATCTGCAAGATGATTGGCTCATGTTGGATTCCACTGCAGCCAATAGTGTGTGTTTCTCCAGGCTCGTTGCACTCTGCAATCTACAAACTAGCTCATGTTCTTGTATATTTTCTTGCTGTTTTTACTTTCCATGTGCTTCTTTTCTTTTTGCTCATTTTTGGCTTTGTTTTACTCTGTGATGCTCTTTCTCAATGTGTTTATTGCTTGTGAATGTTCTACTTCAGCCAGAAATAGCCAACTGGCTGTGATCCCATGACCTGTTTTTGTAAAGGCCGGGCAGAGCTGGCATTGAGTGTATGGTACCGACTGCAGTAGAAATGCTTAGTGGTCGCCCGATATTGGTTTTTTGACAGCCGATGCCGATATCTTGGAAAGCAGGGTGGCCGATGGCAGATTTTTTATTTATTTTAATTAATATTTAAGAAATTTGAAATAATTTGAAAATGGATTTAAAAATAAATGTGTAAAATAAACACTTATACTTTAGATGACAATGTATTTTTCACAAATAAATAAATATTTAATAAAAAGTCAACATTTTAACCAACAGGTCACTAAGTAATCTGGGAAGTTTGTGTGCATTAGGAATCATATTTTTTCAAATAAAGCCAAGGTAACAGTCATTTTACATGCAGCACACAGTGAAAATGACATTAATATTACAGTGGACAAATGCATAAAGCGCAGCATGATTTGAAATCACGAGTTTAAATCTTGTCGATCGTGCATCTCCAGTGAGGCTGAACTCTCCACCTGTCCGCATTCAATTCGCACGGACCGACTGTCACGCAGAGAACACGTGATCATGCAGGTCACATGCACACTTCACAAGATCTCAACTAGATTCGACTAAGTTTCCAAGGTTTGTGAAATTAAATATTCATTAATAGACATTCAAAGATTTGTTTAAATGATATAAATGCGTATTTGCTGAATGCTGACGGCAAATGAGACAGTATTATAATATTTGCTTTTCTATTACTAATAATATAAAAGCAATCATTATAATACTTTTTGTATACATTTTAATTCCTTTGTTTAACCGTTCTATCTGATTATTAGACAGACTTCTATCCGTATTAGACAGAACTTTTAATGACGACAACGAACAAGAGGGAGAATGTGAGCACTGTGTGCGACTTTCAAAATAAAGTCGCCTCGAAAAGCATCGGCCAAACAGGAAAAACTTATCGGCCGATGCCGATATTTGAAAATATTTGAAAAATGCCAAATATCGGCCGATATATCGGTCGACCACTAGAAATGCTGCACAAGTTTTTCATTCAAACAACTTAATGATATTGAATGTGAGCTGTACTTTTACACTGCATCCATATTAATTTTAATAAGATATTTTAATATAGAGATCTCTGCATGTGTCCATCTCTTTATAGTAGCATTTCTTGCTACGTTGTTCTATGTGGTTATTAGTATGTTGCTAGAGTGTTGTCAGTTCTCGTCTCTATGATGTTCTTGTCTCTAGATATGGCTGAAATCCTTACTGAAATGTAAGTTTAGGGAATTTTTTTCACCCAGTTATTGTATGCTACATGAAAAAACAAAAGCCTTTTAAGATTCCTTCTAAGATTGCTTAGAAGCCACACAATATGAGGGATCATTCATGTCTGTTAGCACAGACAGTGTGTGAATCATTGGTGTCTTTTGTTTTATTGTTGCGTGCCTTTGTTGCTTGTATTGCTTGAGATTTGCCCCACTTGCTAAGATAAACAAAGACAGTTATTGAACCCAGTATATCTGTCTTATGAGTACAGTTACAATATCATGGGATTTTCTTTGTCATGGTCTCTTGAAAATAGCCATGGCCTGAGGACAAAGCCCAGCAATCTAAAATGAGGAACAGTGTAGTCTCGACTTATTTATTCATT